AGTGCTAAGGGATTCACACGCGTGAATAGGTCAGTCCAAATTCAGATGTCCCTTGAATAGGCGAGAAGGTGCTTAAGGCGAGGAAAATCACAGTTTCTTATGTTGATCGCAAATGAACTGGCAAATGGAATCTGACGTGAGATGGCGATATCTGGCCGATTGTGTCGGTTTAATAATATTGTAAAGAGATCTGCTAATATTTCCTTTCCCGGAAGACACAATAGAGCGTATCGTGTCCCAAGAACAGGTGCATCGTAAGTGGCCTACTTGAGCGGCGCTTCGTCGGTGTTTTGGGTATGGAAATTCGCATGTAAGAGTTTCGCACGGAGCACTTTCTGCACACATTGCAAAACCTCATTTTGAAAGAATTCATTGGCGTAGTGTGTTTGATTCAAGAAGTAAAGACCTCATTCCAGTAGGTGAGAGTTACACCGATGAATTAATCCCTGAACCATTGCCTCGAGAAGACCGAAATACTCGCCAAGTTCTTGTTTTAGACGAAAGTTGGAACTGGAGGCTGCTGTACGATTATCTCGAATTGTGAGCGACTTGTTATGTTTACCTACGCAGCGAAGGTCAAAGTGTAGTATGGTCATCAACGGTAGATGAAACAAATATTGTCCCATAGCTGACACATAAGCCGCTCTGCTTGTGTAGAAGAAGGAGAGGGTCCCCGCTTTGCTGAAGGCGAACCCGATCTGTAGATGAGAGATTGAGTTAATCACCTGTGATATCATACAGAAGCGAGGTGATTGGTTTAAGTCCATCATACTGGACTTATTGGTCAGCTTGCAAACATAGTGCAGACGATACGGACTGAGCAAATCCCTCAAAAACCAATACGAGGTTGCTTCATGTCACAACTTCATCTTGTAAGTAACGCCCATTGGAAGAAATGTCTCTTAAGAATGATCCAGTCCACCTGTGACATCGCGCACACGTTCCAACCAGTTGTGATGCACAGCGCACATTGAATGGTTAAGCAGGAGCACTGCTGCGGAATGGTTCCCAGGATTTTCCCGCGACTGGACTGAAGGTGGTCCGCAGAAGTTAAATAACCCAGAGTGCACTTTCTTGGCGAACATTACGTCCGAGCTACCAGATCGGGCTTTGTATTGACCGATGTTTCCCGTTTGGTACTGTTTTGTTTTAAAACGTCCACTACTAACCCAAGCCGCGTTTAACTTTATGGAGCAGGAACCAGTGACCAGGTGCCCATAGTGTTATTGTCACACCCACACACGCCGGACATTGCAAAACCGCCAGTTGCGTGCCTTCGACTGCCTCTCATTGTACGGAAGTTTGGTGTTGGTGTGTGATTCTTGAACACGGATATTAATATACAGATAGATCGACCACCGTGTTTGGTTTCACAATTCCAGATCGATAGTCGAGTTTGCATTGGATGACAAGAGACCTGCGGACTGGTTCTAAGACGGCTAGAGACTGTAAGGACGAGGACCAGACTCGAAGTTTGTGTAGAATGCTCGAATTAGCTTGAAGACAACGGAGTAGAAGCCTTATTTTGAAATAGAAGGCGCGGGAGCAGAAGCCGACGGGCGTTGTGAGATGATGGATGTGGAAAAGTGTGATCGTGGAGCATGGGAATCGAAAGCAGTAGAACGAGAGCAGGCACGGTCTGGTAGCAACCAAAAGCGGAGCAGAAAATAGGAAAGCATTCATTCAAGGCGATGATTTGTAGGAGGAACACGGATTGTTTTCATATGGAGGGACAATCCAATACGTGACGAGAGATGTACATTCGATCTGATTTCAAGTCGATGGCATCTATATCCGAACCTTGGTAGCTTCGCGTTGAGTAGCCAAGGAACACACCACGAATGAGAGCAGCTCCGGTTAAGTAGAGCCCAGAAGAAAGTGATTCTGCTCCCGCGTAAGGGCGAGTCGCAAGGGCATAACAGCAGGCACCACGATAAGGTGCGAAAGATGTTTGTACGGTACCATTGATGACCTGTTGAAGGCGGAAAATAGAGGAGTGGATGTGAGATAATAGGCGCAGAAGACGGCAAGCCAATTAAGTGACGATACGTGGCGGTAGAAGAACGCCTATCGCCCAAATTTCGAGTGGAAAGAAAGCGCATGAAACAGAAGTGCGGGGTTGAGCTCAATGGCTGCCGGATGCATAATCGCTCTCTAAAAACAACCGTGCCGTGTTTTGCATCCGACGTGTGCGGGCATGCACAGTTGCGTGAGTACAGTCCCCTGAATTGGTATTGAACGAAAAAATGGTCCCTGATAGGTCGTTGCTATTCAATTCCCCCGCCAACACCGGGCATCCGAAAACGAAAATGTTGTATGTTTGTAATTTGAAAACGTTCTTAAAGCCATTAGCACCAGGAGTTTTGGTCATTTAGAGAAAACTTCATTAGGAAAATGCAGAGCAGTAAATCCACGCGAGAAAATGGGAGACTAAAATCATCTAAGACAAAGAAGCGCTAATAAATCGAAAAACCGTTCATGGAATGCAAACCGGAGCTGGTCCCCAGGAACGTCCGAATTGTAACAAGTTGAAACGGTTTTGATACGAGAACTGACGTGCTAGAGGAGAAGGGTTGACTTATGACTCTTTGGAAATGTTACAAGAAATGCATAAAGAAGACAAGAACTAGATTTAATCCAGAATCAGAACGAGCTAAAATTTCTGGTCAGGGCAGTTCGATTGGGTCAAAAGTTTGGAGTCCAAAGCCGTGCGTGCCATATCAGCGGAAGCTCGCAAAAGGTCGCCGAGCCGAAAACAGCAAGCACCATGTGCTTCGTTGGGTAGGAAACTTTGTAGACGATTACAGTCTCCATTGCGTCGCGACCCCCTAAAACCGTACAATCCCATATCGGAGAAGAGGGGAGTTGTCCTGTAAAATCCTTGCAAACAAATTCGTTATCGCAGTTAAACGAGACTCGCTGGGATGACACCTTAATTGTCCTGCAGTCATTTCCGCACAGACTATAAGAGATATGGGGAAGCAGAGGGCCACATGTAGAATATTTGGGAGATAAAGCTTACTGGTGGGGAAACAGGTACGGCAAGATGCCTCTGACCCCGCATTGATGAATCGGAAGAGTGCCGTATAGCTGAGAGACGGAATCCCATGCAATTGTATGGAGCATAGCATGTCGAGAATTAGCCCCTTAACATTCCGGCGTTAAGTGCGACGCCAGGCACCGGAATCAATGATCCACATCGTTTGGGCGGAAGAACTTTCATGTTGCCGCATATGTAAGGGCTCGAGAATTCGACGGAGGCGCGTATTAAGATTACATTCGTGCCAGCAGTGAGCGTCGAGGTGGCCGGACTCACAACAGATTTTGACTTGTCTGGGCGGGCGACGGTTACATTTCTTGAAGGGGACGGAATTGGTCAGGCTGAGTTCTGCGTTTACGGAACAGAGGATTTTCCTCTGAACTTCTGGTTCTTGGGTTCGGTAACTTGAGTTCGACTCGCATTTGAAAAACATAGCAAACCATTCTCAGATTGCTGCAGTTCCTTGATTTCTTCTGGTTTGTGAAGATTTATTCTTTCACTGCAGAGTAGGGAGTGAAAGAATCGTCTAAGACTGATGGGCTTGTAAAAAGACGTGCGAATTGGACCGTCTTGAATCGAGTTTGTACGTCCCAGGTAATAATCCGATTTAGGATGTGACAGCAACTATGTCTACGTAAGCGGTACCTTCGGATGCCCAGCGGCTGCTATGTCATCCTAACATGATTATTCTTGATCGTCGATCAAGGGTATTGCTGCATTGTCTGATCTCTTCATTTGGAATTTCGGTGAAGTTCGCTTTTCATTGTATCACTTCTTGGACGGCTTCGTTGGTTGAAGACGACGTTTCGAGAGATTTTCCCAAACTTCTTGAGTGGTAGTATAGGAAGTTACGAAACATTATGGAATAGGATGGTTGCGGAGATTTGTCGATAGGATTGCGGAGTGAGATTCCTATCACGAGCAGTTTCATCGTTGTGTGCGCTGATAGTATCCGATTTTCCCGGTGGAGCAAACCGAGAGACGCGGTGAGATGCGTTTCGCGAACCCCGTTCGCAGAAAAATGTTGATACAGCTGCATGACGCCAAGACGTTTGTCAGGTATAATCTTCAGTGTTAACTCGTAGTTGGGAACTCAGATCTTGATGTTGGAGAATCAAGAATTTGAGATAGGAGGAATGATGAGCTCGCTTCTTGACCGGAATGGAGGCATAATGACGTGGCCCGGCAGAGAAAACACGTAGCCGCCGATCTTTCTTCTGCATCGGGGAGAAGACGAAGAAGAATCTGCTTGTGAGAGCAAGAGCTCTGATCCAAAAAGCTTAGAGCTTCTTGAGGAAAAGAACTCTTCGGAAGAGGATGAAAAAACGGGAAAGAAGAGGAGTAGAAGCCGGAAAATGCAGTCAAGGAATAAGAATTGTTTGCTTCTTTATTCAGATAATAACCCGGCAATAATATATAATTACAAAGTCAAAGAGATGAGTAAAAGCGGAACAGGAAAAACACTAACTCAAATATTTACAATAATGGTCAATCCTTAACTAGTCAACAACTCACTGGTCGCATTTACTACTTGCATTAAGTTTACTATATTGCATAAATAATACATAGAACCCCAATTGCTGCAATTGCTTGTGGGGTTTGTTACAAATTTCTTTTCAATGTGCAGCAAAATAAATACGTGAGTTGAACCTTACAATTGCCTACAGGCGGCTCAAACAGTACACTCCTCACACGTTGGATGCACTGAATCCTTAATAACAGAAAGTGAAAGAAACAGCCTTTATACCAAACTTCTCCCTTTAAATGCAAAAGACCATAGAAGTTAACAGGTCAAAAATTGACAATTCAGAGAGCAAACTTAATGGAACTAAAAGAATAAGGTTTTGTAAAAGCAATAACAGTTGGAAGTCTCACCAGTGCATAGGGAACCGGAAATAATATCTCGACTGTTTAAGAAGAACAAACACGACCACAAAGGACCAATTACACTCTGGCAAGCAAGCTCACCACCAAATTTCTACATCAAAGAAGCACTTATGGGTTACCTTTGCCTTGAAGCTCAAGAAACCTGAGAAAATAAACAAAGCATCCGACGTACTAACAAACTATTTATTGTTGTAACAGCTATTATATGGGATGTTAATTGAGTTTTGCATTAATGAAATAGATAGATATAAAGTTGACTTCTATAGAGATTTTAATGTCGTTCAAGTCATTCATAATTTTCTTTACATTCTACATGAATTGACTAATTTCATATAAATTGATAGAAAACATGACCAACACCAACAAAAAATTCATGATCAATATCACAATTAATGGAATGATCTGTGATTTTGAAGACTACAAAAAGTGATAGAATCAAAAGTAAGATTAGGAAAATAGCCACTCTTCATCAGTGGACAAAAGTTCCATCTCCTCCTGTCTAGGTTGTTTCAGGCAACTTAACTCTTTATGTTTTGCTATTAAAAACTCATTATCTCAAACACATTTCAAAAAAGTTTTTTCCAGAAAAGCTTTTTAAGGAGAAAAGTTAAAAATACAGTGAAAAAAATGTTTTTCAACACAAATTATTTTTACTAACATTTTTTTTCCTACAGAAAATCAATTGAAAAATTATTCCAAAAAAGCCTATATATAGCCTCAAAAGTAAGAATTCTAAAGGTCACTAATTTTCTAATAGCAAATTTTGGATTTGATGTCTATTCAATGCACATAAGTTCAAATTCATAGTACAAACAACAGATTTTAATTTAGTTTATCTATTTTTGATGAAATCTAAAAAATACCCAAAAAATAATTTAAAGAATAGCTAATTAAAAAATTCTACTAAAAAAAGTATGAAGTTCATTAAACAGACCTCAATATCTATGTCAATTGCAAAAAACACCAAAATTATACTAAAATTAACCAATCCAATCACACAGGCAAAAACCAATTCAACAAAAGCTAGGCGAAAAGCTAAAAGAAAGAAGTAATTATAATAAGATATCTAAGCTCACTGCCGGCATAAAGAAGTGACTTTACTCGAGAGAGTTCATCATCAACCTTCCCGAACTAGAAGAATTTATATCTAAACAATAAAAGTTTTTAGAGAAAGAAATTTCATTAAGCAATCAATTTCTTTACATGCTTAGAGATCTCATATTCATAAACATTAAACAGACAAAAGGTGGCAGCTTCCTAGTTAATGAACACAAAATCCAAGTATTGCTACATGCCTTGAGCAAACATATCTCTTCCATCCTGGTGGCCAATGATTCAAGAAGATAAAAAACAATCGTTAAAAAAAACAACAAAATCCCCTAAGAGGCTACAGTGTTGATAAAGCTCACAAGTCATATCAAAATTAATAATACAAGAACGCCCGAATGTTACTTTTCCTTTTCCTGATGTTTAGATGGAAAAATAGCAATTCAAGAAACTAACTGTCAAACCATAGTATAAACCCCAGGTAAAGTACATTCTATAATACTGATCAAGCACCACGGAAAGGCTGTTGGTGGTTATCTGAGAAGTCCCAGAAAAGAGCGATGACTTGTTATAAAAGTTGATCGGACCTAGTCCGGCCGGTGGACCTGTAGTCGAAGGGACCTTTCGAGAGCTACGGTGCTTGGGGACCAAGTCGCGGGTAACTGTGGTCGGCAGGTAAATTGTGGTTTGAAGGGACCCGCTGTCGGGAGGGGGGGGGGGACTATGTCGAAAGGGTTATGTCCGACAGGTGATGGTGCTGGGTACAGGCGACGATTCGGTTGAAGGGACCATAGTCGGAGAAGCGTCGAAGGTCTGCAGGACTGTAGTTGCGGATGACATGGTCGAAAGGACAATCGGAGGGGATCATAGTCGGCTGAGGATGGTGTCCGAAGGATTAGAGACAGTTCGACATTAGCAGGCGGCGGCCAGTGAAAGTTCGACGGTAGGTCGCAGATAGGAGGGAGTTTGGAGGCATCCGATGGTGAGGCAATGATCCGGCGAATGTTGGGCGAGTTCGAAAGTGGTCGACGTGCTGGGGGTTTAGTATGACAGCGATCACAATGTGGGGGCAATGGTTCGATATTTGTCATATGGAAGTTTGGTGGATGCTCGGCAGCTAATATGGAAATTTCAAAAGCCGATCAAATAGCTATGGTGGAAAGTTTGCAACGGTCAGCAGACCACAGCGGTAGCTGCGCAATGGTCGCGGAGGTAGAATTTGTTGGTGCTTTGGATATTTTGAAATATCTGAGTGCTCTCTCTCAATCTCTAGGCCAGAAGATCCTCTTTCATGTAGAGAAGTGAGAGTCATTTATAATTTTTTTTTTTTAGAATCATGATACCTCATATATATGAGAACTATTAAATGGCAGATTTGGGGTGCTCATCAGGACGATCATAATAATCCATTCGAATCATAGAGCGTTTCTAAGCAATTTTTAATGTGACTAAATGTGTCCAAATTTAGCGGATCTTCCAAATTTGCGAAGTCGACTCTTTGGGCTCACATCTTGCGTATTGATGCGGGAGTAGTATCTGATGCATTGGAGGTGCTGTTCTTTTTTTTTTTGGGTTAGTCGAGCGCGACAACCGTATCGAATCATAAGCAGTTATTAGATATTCCTTTGGTCATGCCAATTTAAACTTTAAACCTTCCAAATAAAGCTTTCTTTGGGCCCCATATTGGAACCATTTTTGGCTCGAATTGGACCGAGATTTGGTGTTCATTGGGTTTGTCTCTTTTGAAACAATTTCTTTTTGACTATAAAGTTTGCTGAAGTTGGGAGTTTGGATAGTACCAAATTTAATTTTGAAAGTTTTTTAACTATAAATATGCCTTGAGATTCGATGCACGATCAAGATGATTTATTTTTTTTGTGACGTATAATTAATAACTAAAGATCGTTGTTTCATTCTTCCTTAATTTTGCTATAAATTCATCTAGAAAAAATAATTAACTGGGGGTTGATAATTTTTTTTAAATTATGGTTAATAATTTGTATAATTAGTACTATAATATAAATCATACACTTCTCATATAATACTTAGCTTTTTAAATAATATATTTAATTAGGGATGGAGCAGCAAATTCAATAAGTCTAATTACATTTTATATCATATTAGCCGGAAAGAACCATTCTCCAACTGTTCGGTCAACACCGAAATGGAGGCCCTCCAAAACGTCGCATCGAACGCCATTTTTTTTCCGTCATTTGAAATCGTGGATGAACAGTGCGACACCATCATTGGCTTCGCATCTGTTCATAGGTTCTTCTGTGCCATTTTTGTCTCTACTACGAATTTGCGGAAAGAAGACGCGAAAGAGAGGCGACAGTTAGGGCAAATGTACGTTCGCATTGGAGATGATACGTCACTTATTTTTTTGGTTTCAAACTTCATTTGGAGTGAAAAATGAGATTTTCCCAGGCTGGCGATGCCCTTATCCGGACTCGGTTATTTACCTTTTTGAAATTTTTCACACACGTCAAAATTTGTGCATATACTTTTTTAATTATTTATAACTTGTTTGGATCTCATTAATAAAAGAGGCTTAAGCATAAAATCTTCATTATCTCTAAAAAAAAGTATAAAAAAAAATAAAAAAACTAAAAAAAAAAAAAAAAAAAAAAACTAAAAACTAAAGAAAAAAAAAACAAGAAAAGAAATAATAAAAAAATCTATAAAACTAAAAGAAGAATAAAAAAAAGAAATGAAAAAATTAAAAATATCTTGTTTGCGCAATTTTTAAAGAACATGCAACAACACTATTATAAATTTTGATGATAATTTTACTCATGATTAAACTGAATTTTTCATCCTAAAGATTTTTTTTAATTCCATTTGTGCTGATTTTGCATATCAATATTATTAGGGACACATAAAATACTGACCCAATCCTTGAAAGCACTTTTTGTATCATTGTGAGGCAGCAGACTTCAAAAGTCAAGTCTTTTTAATTTTAAGGGCAAACTACTTAGCTCATCTTGAATATTAGTTTGATAATTTAAAATTTTCTATTATCAATCAATAAATTTTGAGTTCGAGTCTACATAAGTGATGTAATTCACATAAACGAGTCGAGTTGAGTGCAAATCGAAGTCACTCTCGAGCACTTGAGCAGCCGGAGTTAATTAATTAATTAAGGTTGGAGTTGGTGTTCAAGCCAATCCATGAGTACTAATGATTCAGTTATTGTTAATAAGCAGAAATTTAACGACTCTGCACGACCATTGTATAATATATTTAAATCTATTATACCAACTGATCAGAGTTATAGGATATAAAAATAGAAAGAAAGTTAAAAAAGGAAAAACTAGTTATACCGCGACGGGCTAAAGGCGTTTCTCACAAGTCAAGTAATTGAATATAGAGGGGATAAATCTTTAATTTATTTTAAAATTTATCATAAGTGCCAACAGTACAAGCTGTGACGGAGGGATATGTTATAAAGGAACAGACTTTAAATTTTTAATCTATATTCTTAAGTGGTATTTTACTAATTTTTTTATTTTAACCGGACTAATCACTAGCTGTGAATTAAGTTAAGCTAGCTCAAATTGCCGTTTATATTAGGTTTCGAGTCATGAACCCATTTATCGGTTTATCCCGGACCCGACACTAATAAATTGGCTTGCCTTAATCAAGTACTATTTCATCCATAATGAACTTACTAAGACAGTAAGAATGTATTCGCGAAGAAGGGAATACAGTTTAAAAAAGGTCTGAAGTACCTCTGACGCACAACTACGTTAATGTGCGGGTTCACCGGGTAGTCAAAAGGACCAGAGCCCACAGGCGAATTTTTTTTTTAAAAGGTTTTCGTGTTTGAGACAACTGTTTCATGCTATTCTAAACAGTTTTCCCCTAATACAAAAATTTCGAATTCACA